TGTTATTGATGGAAAATAATCAATCATCTGTCATTTTTATGTATACACTAGACCAGGGTTTGTAACAAACTATGGCCTATGGGCCAAATTTGTCCTGCCATCTGTTTTTCTATGGCCTAAAAGCTAAAAATTTCTTTTCAATTTTTTTTTTTTTTTTTTAGATGGAATCTTGCTCTGTTGCCCAGGCTGGAGTGCAGTGGTGAGATCTCAGATCACTGTGGCCTCTGCCTCCTAGGTTCCAGCGATTCTGCCTCAGCCTCCTGGGTAGTGGAATTACAGGCACACGTCACCACACCGTGCTAATTTTTGTATTTTTAGTAGAGATAAGGTTTTACCATGTTAGCCAGGCTGGTCTCAAACTCCTGACCTCAGGTAATCTGCCTGCCTCAGCCTCCCAAAGTGCTGGGATTACAAACGTGAGCCACCATTCCTGGCCTCTTTTTAACATTTTTAAAGGGATTAAAAAAAAAAAATCAAAATAGTATTTTGTAAAAACTACATAAAATTCAATTTCCAGTATCCATTTATAAAGTTTTATTGGAAACAGCCATGCTCATCCGTTTCTGTATCAGCTATGTCTGCTTTTACATTAAAATACTGAGTAGTGGAAAAAGAGACCATATGGCCCATAAAGACTCCTTTACAGAAGTCTGTTGACCCTTGGGCTATACCCAAGTGAGTACCTGGAGGTACTATAGCTCCCCAATACAGATTTTTTTGTTTCTGGATATTAATACAGGGAGAGGGGTGATACAACTAGGATGACGTTTGCAAGGATCTGATAAGGGGAGACGCTGAAGAACATAAATACATGATGGTTGTCTCAGAAAAGATATAAACATCTGGTAAAATCTGGGTGGGCTGATTGAAGAAGAAGCAATTGGAGAAGGCAGGATATCATATAGTTTAGCAGCAAAGGTAGGCTCTTATTGAGTCACATGGGACTCTGCTGAGACCCAATCCCAAAGAGCCTAGTGAAACTTGCTGGTGATGATGTCTGCAAATAGCAGGCAAGCTGAGCAGCATTTGTAACATAATGACAGACAATTCCCCAATAGTACCCCATTCCTTTATTAGGTGTCCTCAAGTCATTTAGCATCCAGGCATTTCCAAAGGCAAGTATAGACTGACTAAAAAATGGATCTGAGAGAAAGGTTCTGAGAAGGAGGTCCCAGGTAAACATTCTTCCCAAATGGTAACATTTCATTGAAGACTCAGTCAGGGTCAGAATTCAGAAGACAGCAGAACCATCCACATGTTTTTCTAAGTTACAGATTCGGTGAACATCTTATTCTTTCTCTTTTTGATCAATACTAGTGGGGCAAATGGAGCAAGGTAGGGTAGGGTGATGGAAGGGGAGAATTGCATAAAATCAGTGATAGGATGATCTGCCCCAGAAGGCATATATTTCTTTCTTAGCAGTGGCATAAAACATTCCATGTGAACTCTGAATTAGGATGGAGGTGGGGGTGGGGACAAAGATCAACCTAAAAGTCAAACAGAGTCACTGACCAATTGTGCTAAGCTTGAGAAAGTTTGCAGATGGCCAGCTCTCTTCCTGACATCCCACAGAAAGCCAGGCTTGATCTCCTGTGGTTAGGTGGAGCTTCTCCTGCCAGGGAAAATACAGGTGCTAGGATAATGGGCTTTGGATGTTATAGCTCTGAAAAAGTTTCATGACTCTTGGTACCAGAGGTAACCAAATTGCCTCCTTGAGAAACTGCTGATACTGGGTGCCTCTGGGGAGTGCAACTGATGGTGGCTACGGGTGAGAGGTAGCTTTCCCTGCTCATGCCCCTTACAAAAAAACAAATCAACACGTCATCCCCCCATGTTGCCCCACCATGCTTCTTGAGGATACGAAGGCAACCTGGGGCCAGGGCTAGAGCAGACAATTTACTTACTCAGCAGCTAAAGTGGGGAGCTGGAAGAAGGATACAAAAAATCAGAGAGAAGAGTTGTAAGTTAAATGGAAAACCATGACCCAAAGGTCTATTGAAGGATCAGCACACCAAAGTGACCAAAAGCAGCTAATGAAGGTGTGACCCGGGACCAGAAAACAAAGCAACAAGGAAATAGAGGAGTAAGAGCAAACTGGTGGATAATAAATTGAGAGGTGGCTGTTTTAAGGGGAGCCTGGGGTATGACAGACACATAGCTGGATGTGTGAGACTATGGGACCAGGAGCTCAACAGGCCTAGGTAGCAAGGTGCAGGCCAGGGCAAAACGTAGATCAGCAACAAAATGGATTTGGTAGGTGAGCACATTAGGAGTACTCATATAAGAACTTTCCTGTTTGGGGATGCCTAGATCATGCTCTACCCTTGGGTTTAGAGATTCTGAGCAGTCAAATGTGAACAGTTTGCTCTGGATAAGTCCTTTTCATTACAGCCACCTGGAAGCATTTGAATTCACACTCCTGATTACCTGCTTCTGGTTGCTGAGTCTAAACCATGTCTGAACCAGCATAGCTTTGGTACTCTATATTCCAGCAAGGGTCTTGGTCCAGCATCACTGGCAGGGACACACCAGTGCTGTTCATAGGACTGGAATCAAACCCAGAAGTAAGATGTCTCAGGACCTCTGGGTTATAACAGGTTAGAAGCAATGCCTGCAGGCAGGGTTGTGGGATCCTGGCCTGGGTCCAGAAGCATATAAATCTGCAGCAATTACCACTGGGTTGGCCTCAGCAAGGATTAATATAACTTTCAGCAACAAAGCTGCAAGAACTAGTGGTGGGGACTTTGTTCCTAAAGTGCAGTGTCCGTGGTGCCAAGTGCTTGCGGGCAACCCAGAGCCACATCTGATGTAGGAAGACTTAATGGTCCTGAAATGGAATGTCTAGAAACAGTTAAGGAGCTGAAGGTCTATAAGCTGCGGCTTGGTTTAAGAGTTCTTATATAGTATCTTCTCTTTGTGGGACAAGGTCTAGCTTTCAAGGTGCCTCAGAATTAACAGGCGTTGGCCAGGGGTGGTAGCTCACGCCTGTAATCCCAGTACTTTGGGAGGCCAAGGTGGGTGGATCACCTGAGGTCAGGAGTTCGAGATCAGCCTGGCCAACATGGTGAAACCTCGTCTCTACTAAAAATACAAAAATTAACCGGGTGTAGTGGTGCATGCCTGTAATCCCAGCTAATTGGGAAGCTGAGGCAGGAGAATCACTTGAACCCAGGAGGTGGAGGTTGCAGTGAGCCGAGATTGTACCACTGCACTCCAGCCTGGGCAGCAGAGCAAGATTCCATCTCAAAAAACAAAACAACGACAACAACCACAACAAGAACAGGTGTTAATGAGGAACCTGTAGTTTTTGCAGGTGAGTAGAGAAAATGAAAGAACAGAACTAAAAGTAACTGTGATGAATAAGGAAGTGTTGTGCCTCTACTTTCAAGCAATATTGTTTAAGAGGAGCGGTATACGTAAAAATCCTTGAGTAAAACAGACACTGGCCAATTCTGTGAAATGCTGTTACCAAACTCCTGCCCCCTGAATGTTTCTAGTCTATGTGGTATTACTTGGAGCCCACTTGAGAAAAGTTCCATTCCATAAATCCTGGCAAAGGCGGGAAGAGAAGAAATGAATGAGTTTGAACTTGCAGAATCTGCTTGTTGGGGGTTCCGACTGAAAAATCAGATATCAAATTGGTTGTTACAAACCAATTCACAGACTCAGGAGAAGCAAATTTATCAACAACTGGCATAGAGTTGGAGGCATAGGAGAGTAAGCAAACTATCCCAAATTGTTCATCCACTGCAACACTATTATCTTCCTCTTTAAACTTTGCTATTTTAGCCAACTGTGTCATCATTTTCTACTGATGGAGGTTCGATGCCTCATGCTGTTCCACCTGCTTTCTCTAATTTCACAGTCCCCTGTCATACCCATCCTCATGGATCCAGTTCGAGAACCATCTCATCCATGAGAAGCCCATCAGCCCTTGGAGATCTTGTTTATAACTTCCACATTGTCAATGTCCAGCAGTGTTCTAAAAACAACAAGTTCTCAAAACTATAGGCAATAGTTACTAAAAACAGGCTGCTGTATGGGAATCCACACACAGGCAGCAGGCTCCCTTAATCCAGGGTCTATAGAATCACCTGGTCTTCCTCCCCACACATCACAGCTTAGGCCTGGGTCCCCAGGTTTATATTTTCTAGGACCAGATCCTCCTCTTCCAGCAGAGGAGATATCCAAATGAATGGGGGTCCAAAGCACAGCACTAGAATGAAGCAAACCCAGCTCTTCTGTGAGGTGTAGGCCTGTGAGAAGATCAGTATTGGTGGCCAACCCCTGATTCCTAAGGCGCTCCCACTGAGTCATCTGGACCAGATCAGCCCCTTGGGCCAGCACTGCTCAGTAGTACCAGCATCCCACTGCCTTCTGTACCATACCTCAGGCCCTGACTGCGAAGCAGGATGAAGCTGTAAGCCTTCTTTTGGGGTCCTCCCAGAACAGCATGTCTCCCTGGGCACAGAGATACAGATTCCAGGAGATCCTGTTCCTCACTTCTCACTGGCATGATCCTCTGAGGCAGAATGTTGAGAACAAAGGAACAGGACTGCCACAACAAGCTAAGGTCTGGGCAGAGAAGAAATCCAAACTTGTTGAGCAAAAAAAAAATCAAGAACAAGCAAGTACCAGAAGGCAACAGCCAGAAGTTCTTCAAAGTTGTGGAGAAGAGCAAGGAAGATGGTCCAACAGTCCAGCAAAGAGTAATGGGGAGGGCCATGACATATAGGGAGGAGTGGCAAAGACTGAAAATAGGTGAGCAGCCAAAGAAGGTGCCTAACAGTAAGGCAGCTTCCTAGTTCTGGTTCAGCTAACTCACGTTCCTCTCACCATGGGGTGAACCAATTCTCAGCTACCCTGGGGGGAAGGCTTGTTGAAGATGAGGCCTGAAGAAGCTGGCTGGCAGGGTAGTGGACTCTGGGATGGGATACGGGCAGGGGCATTTCCCCACCAGCTTCACCCTGGAGATGACTCCATGTTTCAGAATCTGTTACCTTTTTCCTCAAACATGAGCTATTTTTCCTAGTTTCCTTTGAAAGATCCGACTGAAAGTCAAGTTTTCGTGGTGTAGGCTCACCCTTCAAAACACCCGAAATAACTTTTGCAGAAATCTTCTTCATGTTCAAGTTTTCTTTCAAAATGAGCCTAACAGTTTCTTTGTCTAAATTTAACTCTTCAGCCATCATCCTCACAGTTAACTGCCTGTTTGAACAAACCAAGTCCTTGACCTTCTGGATATTTTCATCTGTCCTGTGGGTGACTGGACGCCCACTTCGGGCGTCATCTCGAACATCTTCCCGTCCTTCTTTAAACCTTTTGTGCCAGTCAAAAACTCTGGCCCTTGACATGACTTCATCCCCATAAGCTTCTTTTAAAAGATGGTGGGTCTCACTTGCAGACTTATTCAGTTTCACGCAAAATTTGATACTAATCCTTTGTTCTAAATAGCGGTCACTCATTCTGGCACTGAACTACACAGGAGCGTTAACAGGCCACGATTGTGAGGGAAAGGCAGATCAATTTCTATAGGACTATAGGTGTAATCATATCGCTATTCTTGCTTTTTTAGAAGCCTGGTGAGGAAAGAGTAATTGCTTTTCTGAGATTTTGTCCCTCAGCTTCCAGTCGAGACTAGGGAGATCCGTTCTGGGAAGCTAACAGAGCCAACAGTCGTTGCAAAGCTGGAAAAATTAAATCTCCTACAACCACGCCTGCATCCAACCAGTGCACGCACATCTGCCGAGAGTTTGCCAATCAGTCACCAAGGTCGCCCCGATTCCGCGGCCCTTAAAGAGTATATGGCGATTTCTGCAAGAAAGGCCTAAGTGGTGGCAACTTAAGCAAGCAAGGAGAGGTGCATAGGTGATGTAACGTGCAAGCTCGCCCCAGATCTGCAGAAACCCGCGCACGCCAAACCTACCGGAGCAGCCAGAGGCTCGCCTACTTTAGGGTCCCGGGAGACAGGCGCGCAAGCGCAATTCCCTTCCCCCGCGGATTAGATTGTGCGCAGTCGCACTGAGGCAACGCGCGCCAAGTCCCGCCTCCGCTTCGTCACACCCCGGCAGGCGCGCTTCCTTGCGCGTGCCCGCCTGCGGATAAGGCGGAAAGGAAGGGCGGGGGAGGAAGGCTGAGGGAAGAGAGGGCACCCCCGGGCGTCAGGGTGCATTGTGGGAAGGAGGCGGCAGCGTCTCGGGCGGGCGGGAGGTGCACCAGCGGCGGCGGCGGCGGTAAATCCTCCCGGCCGCTCACAGCACTGTGGAGCCGCGTCTCCAGCCCGGCCTCGGACCGCGGCACCCCTCCTGGCCCTCGCGGCTTTCCGCCCGCCAGCCCCTCCCCCGCGCGCCGGCCCTACAGAGGCGGCCGGCCGGCCCGGCTCCCCTCCCCGGCCCCGACGGGCGGGCGGACTGCCCTGAGGAGGCGGGGAGGGGAGGGCTGGGCCGGCCGGCAGGCGGGCGACGATGCCGAACTTCTGCGCTGCCCCCAACTGCACGCGGAAGAGCACGCAGTCCGACCTGGCCTTCTTCAGGTTCCCGCGGGACCCGGCCAGGTAAGCGGCGGGCGCGGAGCGGGCGGTCGGGGCCCACCTCGGCGGTGAGCGCTGCCAGCCGCCGGCCCCAGGCGGGCTCCCGGGCTGAGAGGGGCGTGGGAGGGGGGCGCAGCGCACTGCCGTCGACGCCAGCTTTGGACCGAGATGGGGAAGCGGCCGCGAGCTGTCGGCGGGCGGGCGTCAGTGGACCTTGGAGCACGTGCTCTGGCGGGGGCTCGGCGCAGAGGGCACTACCCCAAACGTGAGGGAGCTGGGGCTGCCCGCGGACGCGGGATGCGGTGGGTTCTCGCCGTGGCTCACTTGCTATGTGACCTCGGGCGAGTGGTTTTCCTTTCTGGGCTTTAGTTTCCTTAGCTGTCAAAAGAGAGCAGGACTCTATGGTTGTGGCCACGGGGGCCCTCCCTCTCCTTGCCGCCACCCCCGGGACGGTGTTTCTGTTTTGATTCCCACTGCCTTCTTTCGTCACAACTACTCTCTCCTTCGGACTTGTCATTGCACGGTTCAAGGTTCATTTTCTGGCTGTTACCGTTACTCATTTTCTCACTTGGTTATTGTAGGTATAACAGGGTGTACGCGTGAGGGCGTGGAATTGGTATTGGAACTTCTTCCTTGAAATAACCCCCACACACTGACTTATATTTAGGGAGTGGTAGCGTAGGGACCATGTTTGAAAGGCCGAGATGTTTCATGGCCTGTCTTGTTGGTTCAAAAATCAATGCCTACTATGTGCCGAGCTCAGATGTTAGGTTCTGGGAATTCATGGGCAAACAAGCGTGTTACTGATTGCAGAAAGCTCTCAGTCCATTAAGGGAACAGGTACAGCAACAGGGGATTGTAATGTAGTATGTTACAGTATTTATTAATTATTTCAATAATTATTGAAGGTCTACTCTGTGCTTGGCATTATTGTGAGCAATGTGGGTTACAGATGTACACATCGAAGTCCTTTGTCATGAAGATTACATTCCTTTGGTGTTGGAGGGGGGTCGGGGAATAAACAAGTAAAATACAAAGTGTGTCGGCTGATGATAAATACTGTGGAGAAAAATAAGCGAAGGTTAGAGGGTAGGGGAATAAATAGTACCAAGGGACGCACAATTGCTATTTTAAATCGAGTGATTAGAGAAGGCCTTACTAAGAAGGTGAATTTGAGCAAACACCAGGTGAAGGAGCCAGCCATGGAGATAACCTTGGGCAGCAGCATTCCAGACTGTGGAAACAGTAAGTGCAAAGACAGGGCAGCCAGGAGTCCAGGGGGAGGGACTGGGAGAGAGGTAAGATGAAACCAGAAAGGTGTGTGTATGGTAGGGGCAAATTCTGTAGGGTAGGACATTGTAGGTCTTGGAAGGTACTATGGTTTTTATTCTGAGTGAAATAGCAAGTCTTTGAATGGTTTAGAGAAGAGACTTAAATTTTAGCAGGCTCAGTGGCTGCTGGTTAAATAGATTGTAGGGAGGCAAAGGTGAAAGCCGGAAGACTAGTTAAAAGGCTGTTGCAATAATTCAGATTGGTAGAGGAGGCGGTGGCAAATTTGAGATACGGTTTGAAGGTGAAGTCAACAGGTTTTGCTAATGGTTTGGAGGTGGCTTGTAAAAGAAAAAGGGAAGTCAAGGACGACTTCAAGGTTTTAAAAATCTATGTTGGCAGGGTTGGTTTGAACTCCTGGCTTCAAGCAAACCTCCTGCCTCGGTCTCCCAAAGTACTAAGAACATGTTTGAGCCACTGCACCCAGCCAATTTCAAGAATTTTAACATGAGCATTTGCTGGATAGGTAAGACTGGGAAGAGCAGGTTGGGGTTTGAGAGGCCTGATAGATAATCTTCCGGAATAGATGTCTAGGCCGGCACATGGTGGTTCACGCCTGTAATCCCAGCACTTTGGAAGGCTGAAGCAGGTGGATCACTTGAGGTCAGGAGTTCAAGACCAGCCTGGCCAACGTAGACCCTGTCTCTACCAAAAATTAGCCGGGTGCAGTGGCTCATGCCTGCAGTCCTGGCACTTTGGGAGGCCCAGGCAGCCAGATACCTGAGGTCAGGAGTTCCAGACCAGACTAACCAACATGGAGAAACCCCATCTCTACTAAAAATACAAAATTTGCCGAATGTGGTAGCACATGCAACTTGGGAGGCCGAGGCGGGAGAATCGCTTGAACCCAGAAGGCGGAGGTTGTGGTGAGCCGGGATCATGCCACTGCAGTCCAGCCTGGGCAACAACAGCAAAGCTGTCTCCAAAAAAAAAAATCAGCCAGACGTGGTGGTGCATGCCTATAGTCCCAGCTGCTCGGGAGGCTGAGACATGAGAATTGCTTTAACCCAAGAGGCGGAGGTTGCAGTGACTTGGGATTGTGCCACTGTACTCCAGCCTGGGGGACAGAGTGAGATTCTGTCTTAAAAGAGAAAAAAAGGAAGTCTTTCATCATACCATATGCAGAAATGAACTCCAAATGACCTATACTTTTATTTAGATCAAGGCCTAACTATAAGAGCTATACCATTAAACTTTTAGAAAAAAAAATACAGATAAATCTTCATGACTTTAGATTTGGCAGCACATTCTAGTTTTGTGTTTTGTTTTCTGAGAGAGTCTCACTGTGTTGCCCAGGCTGGTGTGCAGTGGCACAACCTCGGCTTACTGCAACCTCCGCCGCCTGGATTCAAGAGATTTTACTGACTCAGCCTCCCAAGTAGCTGGGATTACAGACGCCCACCACCACGCGTTGCTAGTTTTTGTATTTCTTTAGTAGAGATGGAGTTTTGCCATGTTGGCCAGGCTAGTCTCTAACTCCTGACCTCAGGTGATTTGCCTGCCTTGGCCTCCCGAAGTGCTGGGATTACAGGTGTGAGCCATCATGCCTATCCGGCAGCACATTCTTAGATATGATCAAATTTCATGAAATAGAAAGATAGACTGATTGGACTTCATCAAAATTAAACTTTTGTGTATCAAAGGACATTACCAAGAAAGTGAAAAGAATGGAAGAAAGTACTTGCAAGTAATTCAACTGATGAGGGCCTAGTAACCAGAGTATATAAAGAACTCTTACTGGCTGCCTTGGTTGTCTTTAAAATAAAATTAAAAAAAAAAAACTCTTACAATTCAGCAACAAAAAGACAACCCAATTTAAAAATAGGCACAGGACTTTTTTCCTTAAAGGAAAGATACAAGTGGCTAACAAGCACATGAAAGATGAAGCAATTCTCTTGCCCCAGCCTCTCGAGTAGCTGGGACTACAGGTTCGCGCCACCACGCCCAGCTAATTTTGTATTTTTTAGTGGAGACATGCTTTCACCATGTTGGCGAGGATAGTCTTGATCTCTTGACCTTGGGATCTGCCTTCCTTGGTCTCCCAAAGTGCTGGGATTACAGGAGTGAGCCACCTCGACCGGCCAGGAATTTCTTTTTAAAAGGATGTTCATTGAGATGCAATTCACATACCATATAATTCACCCATTTAAAACATACAATTTGGGATATATACATTAACTTAAAATTTTGGTTCAATATATACAACAAAATTTGCTATATTAACTATTAAGTGTACAATTCAGTGGCATTCGTTATGGTCAGAGTGTTGTACAACCATCTCCACTATTTCCAAAACCTTTTCATTATCCCAAACAAAAACTGTAACCATTAGGCAATTACTTCCCATTGCCCTGTCCTCCTAGCCTTTGATAACCTCAAATCCACTTTCAGTCTTTGTAAATTTGCCTGTTCTAGGTTCATGTAAGTTGAATCATATAATATTTTTCCTTTTATTTCTGGCTTGTTTACATATGTTCAAGGTCTTTTTATCCAACTTAAATCTCCTTGTACCACATGATTTCAAGTTCTGCTATATTTGATAGTTTCCTTTTCACTGTCCCCAGAGTTAGTTATAACAAAGAAGTAGTTTCCAGAGGTGTTACTGAATTAATAACAGTATTTTTAGGGTTATTAGTTTTAACCCCTCCCATTTCTTCTGTAAACAGGTGGTAGGAAAGGTTGATAAAAGGGACATTGCCAGTCTAGTCTTCAAATACTAGCTAACATTGTTAACTAACAATAAAGATGAATATATTTAATGCTGTTAAAACAGTACATTTCCCAGTCATCAGTTATAAATTCCATGCACCCTTTTAGAAACAGCTATTTAGAAATAATTTAAACTTCTAGAGTGTAATTAATGAAGTGTACGGTGTGGTGTTTACACAGCATAATAGTTTTTATTGTTTTAGAAAAAGTGGGATTAATATGCTTCTTTTTTTAAAAGGTGAAATTATCAACCCAGCTTAGGTCAGTGACAGGGTTTAAGTAAAAAAACAAAACAAAACAAAACACTGCCTGAGGTTGCAGTGAGCCAAGATCGAACCACTGCACTCCGACAGAGTGGGACTCCATCTCAAGAAAAAAGAAACACTGCCTATACTGCCCAAATCTTGATTGCCCCTAGGTGGCTTGCCTAATGCCAAGGCTTGCCACTGTGAGGCAGCTCACAGTGGAGCTCTTCCCTAAACCAGAAGGCACAGGTAGAGGTAATGAATTGTTCTGATTAGAGATGGTTGCTCTCTCCTTCCTCCTCAGGCAGCT